AATTAATAATAATAATTAAAAAAAATCTTAACAGAATTCCAAGAAACAAAATCCAAGGAATATAGATATAAAAAGTCTACAGCCTTATAAAAGAAAGAAAAAAAAAATAGAGAGAGAATATATATGCATACATATATACGTATGTTTGTGTGTGTGGAAATGTCTACGTATCCATGCATACATATTGAAATATATGTGTATGTCTCTGTATGTGTATATATACGTATGTATATTTATATATGTGTATACATGTATATATGTATATATGTGTATATATATATATATATATATATATATATATATATATATATATATATATATATGTATATCTGTATATATACACATATGTATATATATACATATATATGTATACATGCACATACATATATGTGTATATATATATATATATATATATATATATATATATATATATATATATATATATATATATATATACATATATATGGGTGTATGTGTGGAAATATTTATATACATATTGAAATATCTATTTATCTGTCTATATATATTTATATAATCATATGCACATACACATAGAGTATCTATGTCAATCAATCTCCCCATATATATGCACAAGAACATATAACCATGTGATTTTTGCTGTTTTTTGAAACTACAACTACACTTTATATAGGCCTATTATTTGGGGTCGTACCACCATAGATTAAGAATGTAACAACATTTACAGCTTTTAGCAAATGTAATATTGACTTTGATTCCAAATTAAACGGAAGTTTACGAGAAAACAGTGACAGCGAAGAAGACCCTTATCCCAAACATCTCCAGAGAGACAAAACCTGCAAGATCTCGGCCACAACTGAAGGCACACTGATGTACAAGCAAGTCATAACACACAGTACTCATCAGGTGAATCTGAAACCTAAAATTTCAATAACCCAAAAAGACTAACAAATTCACTAATCAGACTTCCACAAATACATATTTAAATAATACATAATTAAAAAAATGGGAGACTGGGAGATTCCAAACAAGTGGCCTCTAGGAAAATCATGTTCATATGGCACAATATTTCCAGTGGAAATACACTTAACCCTAAAGATCAAAGAAAAAGTAAGAAGAAGTGTAAGCATAACAGAAATAGTGGAAACACTAAGAAAAAAGGTAAACAAAAAGATTATAATAAAAATCATATAGGTTCCAACAGTCTATAAAAATAACATTCAAAGGCCAATTCCCAGAAGAAATTAGCAATGATACATCTTTACTCAATCCATATATATACTTTCCCCATTTCTAAATATTTCAGGTGACTGAGGTGTGGGCATGGGATCATGACTTCAATAATAATAGAAAATGTGGCCAATTTAATCATAATTACAAATGTTTCCTAAATAAAGAATGCTTCTTTTATTGTCATGGTGATCACCCACCCAACACAAATTCATGTAAAATAAATAATGATACAAACTATATATACAAAAAAAAAAAAAAAAATCAAGAGTTAAAGCCTCTTCAAAGAGAAGACATCAACTCTTGAAGCCCTTACACCAAAAAACCAGCCAAAACACGTCACACACAAAAAAAGCACACAAGTATACAAACAACAGGACACAACACAGCACAATCATATGCACAGACATTGAACCAATCTCAAACTTTAACATTAGGACAAAGAATCCAATGAAACCTAAGAAGAAATCACAAGTAAAGAGTAATGAATTAAACAGAAAAAAACATAAAAAACTCAATCACTAAAACAATACAAGATTCTCCGATAATGGGATCTCTACCATTACCCATGAAAGACAGAACTCCAATAAGGAAAATATAATGACAAAAAGATATTCAGATGAATAAAGACTTCTCATGGGTGAAAACAATAAAAAAATATAGTCAGTGTGATATCAAATGTAATAACATGAATTCTGAAAGAAATTATAGAAATTCTTACAAACTATATATGATGGAACTCTAACCACAAAAGATAATGAAATACTTAGATAAAAAACATCCTCTATGAATAAAAAATGAGATAGGACTATGTAAGATCTGGCTAAAATAATAGATATGCTTAATTTTAAGAATTATGACATAATTAGAAATGACAGAAGAGAACAAATTGGAGGGGTTTAGCCTTTTGCATAAGGGCAGTACATGTGTTGGAACCCAAATTTAAACTTTTAATTTCCAAATATTACAGGAGCAAAAAACCTGTTTGAACTCATTAGTCAATATAATATAATTTTGCTAATACCTCCAGGCCATACTACAGGAGTAGATCCCAGTAATGCAAAAGGAAGCTCATAAAGTCACCTTAACCTTTAAAAAAAAAATAAAATAAAATAAAGAAAGAAAGAAAGAAAGAAAGAAAGAAAGAAAGAAAGAAAGAAAGAAAGAAAGAAAGAAAGAAAGAAAGAAAGAAAGAAAGAAAGAAAGAAAGAAAAGAAATGGAACTTCATAGATGTTTGGAGGAAATATAAAAAAAATATATAAAAAAAAAAACTAGAAAGTAAAGATACTGAAAGCATAAAATCTTTCAGTAAATTAACTATCTAAAAAGTAATAATAATAAAGATATTAGGATCAATAATTTGATGGAGGAATAAACCTTGCAACACAGCAGTAGAAACAAAGCATGCAACAAACGAAAAAAAAAACAGGAAGGAAAACCTATTCCAAGATATTAATGATAAAGAGAAAAGAAAATCCTGGGAGAAATTTCTGTGCCTCACTAGACTTTAAAACACCCACAAGAAAAGTGTAGAACTTTAGAAAAAGCTTTACCCTTAAGAAAAAGAAAGAAAATCCCTAACAATAAAACTATTAAAATTCCCAGACACCAAAGACCTTATAATAATAGTAAAAGAATAACTATAGAGTAAAAACAGCCATAACAAGTGCAATAAACAATAAGCATATGTGTTGGACAAAATAACATAATTTTTACAAATAGGCTTGAAGGAAATTATTGCAAAAATGTACAAAGAATCATAAATTATTAATTAATTATTAAATTATTAAATTATAAATTATTCCAAAGGACAACATCCAGATGCAGAAGAAATGCTCTAGTCAATCCAATATTAAAATAAAATAAGCCTACAGATTGTAAAAACAGATTTTTTTTTTTTTTTTTTTTTTTTTTTTTTTTTTTTTTTTTTTTTTTTTTTTTTTTTTTTTTGGTGAAAATGATAAACGGTAAAATTGTTTGAAGGCTTAAAACATAGTAAATAGCTTTCAAACCTAGTCAGACCACAATTCATGTGCCGGAAATAATTTTTTTCTAAACTAATAAAGCTAGAAGAGCAGAAAAAAGTATACATTAACTGCACATATTGATTTTGAAAAAATAAAAAATAATAAAAACTTTTGATTCTGCAATAAATGAAGCAATATTATTCAAAGCTGGAAATTGGGAATTTCAGGTTCATCACTAAACATTATAACGTTCTAAGGGGTACAGACTTTTCAAATTGCAATAGTTAACAGAAAAACAGAAAAAAGAAAATAACATAAAGATGGGACCACAAGGATCTCCACTAAGCCCAATCCTTGTCAACTACTAATGGCTGATTTAGAGGATATAGTTGATGCGCAAAATGATTTAAGGGGTCGTTCACAATTGTCACAAAAGGGGTCGTTCACAATTGTCACAAAAGGGGTCGTTCACAATTGTCACAAAAGGGGTCGTTCACAATTGTCACAAAAGGGGTCGTTCACAATTGTCACAAAAGGGGTCGTTCACAATTGTCACAAAAGGGGTCGTTCACAATTGTCACAAAAGGGGTCGTTCACAATTGTCACAAAAGGGGTCGTTCACAATTGTCACAAAAGGGGTCGTTCACAATTGTCAACATTTTCACGAGCGTACAAAACGTACACTTTTTCAGGACCCCCTCCCCCCCCTCCCAAAAGTGTACAAAATAAAATGTTGATTTCTCAGAAGAACTATATTCAAGAAATAATACACTCTACAGTACAAATAATATCGCCAAGCAACTAGTTAAAAAAAAAAAAAAAAGGCCAAAGTAAAACGTGGTAAAACTTGAGCCCAAAAAAAAAAGCCAAAATCCACCAAATTCAGAAATAAAAGAAATCGACATTTTTATGTTTTCAAAAAGCGTACAAAATCAAAAAGGCTAAAATAAAGCCTCAGAATTAATTGATATATATTTTTAAAATGAACTAGTTAAAAAGTAAAATGGTGTTTTGCAAATAAAGAGATAAATCCAATACCAATAGATAATAGATAATCTAGAATAAAGAGATAAATAAAGATAAAAATAAATAATCTAAAATAAAGAGATAAATCCAATACCAATAGATAATAGATAATAGATAATCAATAGATAATAGATAATAGACAATAGATAATCTCCACAAATAACAGTATATTAGGACCAAAGCTGACCTGGAAAAAAAAAAAAAAAAAAAAATTGTGTGTATGTGTGTGTGGAGAGGATAATTAAATAATTAAAAAATAAATGAAAAATAAATTAAAAGTTCAGTCGCAAACAGAGAAACAATCAAATGGCCAACTCATGGGGTAAGTAATAATAAAATAAAGAAATTACAAACACTACAAAATGAAGTCATGAAGAAAGCCACAGCATGTTTCAACACCAGACATTATACTTCAAGCATTATCATATGCCAATAAAAGAAATGACAACTAAAGAAATATTGGAATATGCACTCAACAAAGGTAGAAAATCAGAAGAAACGAATCCAATTAAAATCTAAAGTCCCATAAATGAAGGAAGAAGAAATAGGAAAAGAGGAAATAGGCCTACATTTAATACAGAAGAGGAAATAGGCCTACATTTAATACAGAAGAGGAAATAGGCCTACATTTAATACAGAAGAGGAAATAGGCCTACATTTAATACAGAAGAGGAAATAGGCCTACATTTAATACAGAAGAGGAAATAGGCCTACATTTAATACACTGATGGCCATTAGTTTCATAATTACTAATAATTACATTTACACTTTCACTATCTCTTTTCACATAAATTAACATGATTTACCCACAACCCCACACGAGGCACAGTCTACCCACAACCCCACACGAGGCACAGTCTACCCACAACCCCACACGAGGCACAGTCTACCCACAACCCCACACGAGGCACAGTCTACCCACAACCCCACACGAGGCACAGTCTACCCACAACCCCACACGAGGCACCGTCTACCCACAACCCCACACGAGGCACAGTCTACCCACTACCCCACACGAGGCACAGTCTACCCACAACCCCACACGAGGCACAGTCTACCCACAACCCCACACGAGGCACAGTCTACCCACAACCCCACACGAGGCACAGTCTACCCACAACCCCACAGGAGGCACAGTCTACCCACAACCCCACACGAGGCACAGTCTACCCACAACCCCACACGAGGCACAGTCTACCCACAACCCCACACGAGGCACAGTCTACCCACAACCCCACACGAGGCACAGTCTACCCACAACCCCACACGAGGCACAGTCTACCCACAACCCCACACGAGGCACAGTCTACCCACAACCCCACACGAGGCACAGTCTACCCACAACCCCACACGAGGCACAGTCTACCCACAACCCCACACGAGGCACAGTCTACCCACAACCCCACACTCACTTCACTGGTTTCATGAGAACAGTGAAGAGAAAACTCACCTCCAAGATGTCTTCTTCGTCAATAATATAAATGACAACTTTATACTTCAAGCATCATACTTCAAGCATTATACTTCAAGCATTATACTTCAAGCATTATACTTCAAGCATTATACTTCAAGCATTATACTTCAAGCATTATACTTCAAGCATTATACTTCAAGCATTATACTTCAAGCATTATACTTCAAGCATTATACTTCAAGCATTATACTTCAAGCATTATACTTCAAGCATTATACTTCAAGCATTATACTTCAAGCATTATACTTCAAGCATTATACTTCAAGCATTATACTTCAAGCATTATACTTCAAGCATTATACTTCAAGCATTATACTCCAAGCATTATACTTCAAGCATTATACTTCAAGCATTATACTTCAAGCATTATACTTCAAGCATTATAGTTGTTTTTTTTAAATCATTAACTACTCTGAATATCTATGAGTAGAATTGGCTGCAAAATCTCACTTCTCAATAAACATCATTTAAAATTAAAACCTTGGTAACAAAACGATTTCTTTTGATTTTCTATAATGCTGTCTACTTTTTCTTTTTTTTTCTGTCTTTCAAACTATTTTTAAAATCTTTAAAATCCTGCAATCTTTGACTTCTTTAAATATCTGTCACTGGACTTGGCTAAAGAACTTACTTGTCAAAAATAATTAAATAATAATAACCAATATTTAAAAAAACTATAAATAAATACATAAAATAAATTAAAAATATCTTCTTAATTCATATTGTTGCTTTTAATATTTACTGAACATTCATATGTCTATCTGTCCTTTCTTCCCTTCTCTCTGCCTCTCTTTCTCCCTCACCTCCTCTCTTTCTTAAACTCCAAAACTGGAGAGAGAAAAAGACACAGAGAGAAAAAGACAGAAAGACCGATAAACCGACAGATAAAGAGAAAAAGAAAGAAGAAAAGAGCGAGATAGAGAGAGTGAGAGAGGGGGGGGGGGGGTAGAAAGAGGGAAAGAGAGAGAGCGGGAGAAAAAGAGAGCCTCCTCCTCCTCGCACGCCCCAGGGAAGAGGAGCCTGAAGTACCTGGAGGGAAAAGCGAACGATGAGAAGAGAGAGAGAAAAAGAGAGAGAGAGAAAAAGAGCGAGAGAGGGAATGGGAGAGAGAGAAAGAGAGAGAGCGAGAGCCTCTTCCTCCTCGCACGCCCCAGGGAAGTAGAACCAATAGTATCTGGAGGGAAAAGAGAGGGAGAGTGAGAGAGACGGGGTAGGGGGGGAGAGAAAGTGGGATAGAGGGAAAGAGAGAGCGAGAGCCTCCTCCTCCTCGCACGCCCCTGGGAAGAGGAGCCAATAGTACCTGGAGGGAAAAGCGAACGATGAGAAGAAAGAGAAAAGAGCGAGATAGAGAGAGTGAGAGAGGGGGGGGGGTAGAAAGAGGGAAAGAGAGAGAGCGGGAGAAAAAGAGAGCCTCCTCCTCCTCGCACGCCCCAGGGAAGAGGAGCCTGAAGTACCTGGAGGGAAAAGCGAACGATGAGAAGAAAGAGAAAAGAGCGAGATAGAGAGAGTGAGAGAGGGGGGGGGGGGGGGGGTGGTAGAAAGAGGGAAAGAGAGAGAGCGGGAGAAAAAGAGAGCCTCCTCCTCCTCGCACGCCCCAGGGAAGAGGAGCCAATTGTACCAGGAGGGAAAAGCGAACGATGAGAAGAGAGAGAGAAAAAGAGAGAGAGAGAAAAAGAGGGAATGGGAGAGAGAGAAAGAGAGAGAGCGAGAGCCTCCTCCTCCTCGCACGCCCCAGGGAAGAGGAGCCAATTGTACCTGGAGGGAAAAGCGAGTGATAAGAAGACAGAGAGGGAGAGAGAGAGAGAGAGGGGGGGGGGGAGAGA